CAAAATGTCGCCAGGATCGCGACACCGCACCAACCCGAACAAGATCAGCTGGATCCTCCAAAGAACGAAGAATCTGTATCATCATGTCGGGTTCAAGCCATTTCAATAAATCCATGGACGCGTCCATGTCAAGCAATTAATTGAATTTGAACCCAAGAGCAACCCTGGCTCAGTTTTCAAACCTCAAGACCTGATTTCATGTTGAAAGACACCGTCAAATAAAACTTAAATAGATAATTGAAGATTAAAAAAAAATTACACATATAAAAGTGAAAACACAACGCAATGCAAAATTCTTCAAGTTTCTCCAATACCCATCCAATCCAATCAAAACCCGAATGTCTTGCGTATTGTAAAGCCGGAAACCATGGAAAACCAGAAGCACCGCGAAATTTCTAAAAAAGCACAATGGAATAAACAAATAAATAATTACATTTCTTTATTATGATTTCAAAGATCAAATCAATTCCAGTATTTACTTGTTTTTCTTCGGAATCAATTTCAGTATTAATGGGATCATAATGATGATGAAAGTATATGTACAGGATTCTGTCGATGACACAATTACGGAGATTTAAAGTACTTCATGGAAATAATAAATTCAGCAGAAATACATACAAGAAGCAGGAAAAAAAATCATATACTTCGGACAAAAATGTTGTGAATAGTAGAAAATCAGCAGGGCCATCAGAGATTATGGAACCCGTCTGGCAAAATGAGTGAGAAACAACGGATTCTACAAGATGATAAAGAAGTTTCTAACCTTTTGTTGGGAAGCGGTTCGTCCATAGAATAATTTGTTGGACAAAGAAAAGCAAAACCTTTGTCTCGAACAACCAAACCCTAGAGAGAGAGCGTCCTGGTGAATGTTAATCGCTGTGAGGAGAAATTGGAACACGAAATGGAAGGCAGGGAGACAGACGGGGGGGGGGGGGGGGGGGACCAAGCAAAAGCCAAAAGCCCCTTTTTTTTTGTAATTTCAATATTATAGGAGGTTTAAAACCTTGTTTGATCCCTGAACTATTAGGTAATGACGAATTCCTCCTCGAACATTTTTTATTATCAAAGAAACCCCAACTCTTTAAAACGTTGCGAATTTCAAAAGGACTAATTAGCTAAAACAGAAATCCAATTTTGGATGAAATGAAACATACATATCATGTGCACGTGTATCCAACATATAGAGATGTTTTAGTAAAATAATAATAATTTGTGCTTTAATAAAGAAAACATAAAAAAAAATACTCTTAGAAAAGAAAATTTAAGATTTTAATCTTTCACACAATTCATTATCGTTTCCAATTTAATTGCACTGAATCGGAATTGCTCCAGCTAGTCAGTGCCACAAGAAGCTGATGGCGAGCTATTCCCAAACATAGTGGCTTACAAGTACAAACCACTCCTAAGAAGGAAAGTGCTTTGTATAAGCAAACCATTCAAGGACACAATGATTTACACCTGCAGGCCCTCCAACAAGGAGAAAATAACTCGTCAATTCTCAACATAGTGGCTTGAAAGTGCAAGCCACCCCCAAGGGGGGAAATAACTTGTCGAATGCAAAACTATTCCGCGACTCTCGACTTACATGAATGCAAGCCAATTTCCTCATTAAACGCTTAGTTGAGTCAAAGTTACAAATCTTGTTCTCTTTTACCAAGTTTTTACCGTGATGAAAACAGATTAGGCCATAAACCCATGACATCTGAATAATGCAGGATAACTACCCGCATAACCACAAAGACAAAAACAATCATTGGAGATTAAAAGCCGGTTCTTTTTACGAGTTCGAGTTAAAAACTTGAATTAAAAATTGAATGAGAGTAAACACTATAATAAAAAAGAGAATTTAAATTTTTATAAAAAAAACATTGTAGCACAAAATTTGAGTTATAATTTGAATTATGAAAAAAAAAAAAAAAAAAAAAAAAATAGCCTGAAGCATGATGTTCTCTACTTTTGGAGAAAATGGAAGAGTACAAAGTGAAAGCGAGAGTAAAGGAACACGGCCCAAACCACATTTGATAGTGTTAGTTTATCGATCCATCTCAAAAGTTTAAGCTGTTAGGAGGTGGATCAACAATAGTTTTATACTTTAACACTCTCCCTCACGTGTGGGTTAGACAATGGGCAATCGTGTGGGTAAATTAATTAGAAAGCCCAACACGTGAATATTTAAGCCCTAGATATATTAAAGACTCAACACGTGATGACAACAAATGGGGATAAAGAGTGCAATTACGGGAGTTTGAACTCAGGACCTCTCATTCTGATACTATATTAGTTTACCAATTCATCCCAAAAGCCTTTTGGGATGGATTGGTAAACTAATAGATAGTAACCAACAACAAGACCTTGCTATATATAAGAGGGAATGACTCAAAAAATGGGCTGAATTTTAGAGACTTGGCACTCTGTCAAATTATACTATGAAAGACTTTGTGAGGATTGGACTGTGCATTTAGAATTCTTGAATAATAGTGCATCAAAGTTGGTGAACATAGGTTACTTTGAGTCAAACCACTATATATCTTTTATTTAGGTGGACAGGAATGGACATGAGAATGGAGTAACCATTCTCCATGCCAGGTTAGTTTTTCAAGCAAGAAATTGTCATTCCAATTGAATGATGACCTTTATTACCCTTAATAAATGCTTTAAAGTTGAGAAATGATTTTTATTATTTTCAATAGACGCTCAAGTGAGCATCACATGATCAAAATCATTAAGAAAAAAAGATTTTATTTTCTATTGGATCTTAATTATAAAGATTTTTAAATTGAAGAAGTCAATTGCTAAAAAAATTATGATCTAAATTGTCAATCTCAAAAAGTTGAGAGAATGTCTTAAAAAAAATAAAAAACCTTTACTTATTTACCAAGCCTCATCATACAAATAAGGATTAATTTCAAAAATTATCCCCGAACTATGACCCTTTTAACACTTTACCCCCCGAATTTTAAATAACATTCCCTGTTAACAAGATTTATCCTTCTGTTACAATAAGTGACGGAAATCGTCACGTGTCAGGTACATGAACCATTTAAGGAGGGTATTATCGTAAATTAACCTGCAACAACCCTAGATTATTAAATAGTGATTAAAAAAACTCAAATGCGTTAAAAAAACAAAACCATTTTGTCGATTTTTTTGGTTGTGTTAGGGTTAGAACTTTTCCTCCAAAAAGAACAATCTGAGGAAAAATCAAGCTTTTCCTTTTCTTGCTCTGCATAATAATCAACTCTCTCTCATTTTTGCAACACTGATACAATTACAAATCTTCCACATTTCTTTACTTCGTAAATAGTGAGGAACAGAGAAATCCCAAACAAAACAGAAGAATTTTAGAAACAGGAGTATTACAAGAAGAAATAGATAGTGTGTATCTGAAAACATGGATTCATGCAATAACACTGTCGATCTCGGTGGCCGGAGGAGGCCTCACAGTTGGGAAATTAACGGCCACGACGACGACGACGAAGAAGACGACGTTGTTTTTGAGATTCAAATTCAAGTATCCGTTGAAATCGTTCTGGCCTGGAGGAGCTAGAGGAGGAGAAGGTAGATACGGTAGAGCTTGTCATGGATGAACGAGGTGAGGAAAAAAAGAAGCAAAATGGGAACGAAAATGGTGAATTTTTTCAACAAAAATGGAGAATTATCATATTAGGAGGATATAAGCGTAATTGCGCTTTCAATTCTCACTAAATAAGTGACACGTGGCAATTCTGTCACTCATTGTAACAAAAGGATAAAACTTGTTAACGGAACAAAGTTCAGGAAAAACGGATGTTACTTTTTAAAATTTAAGAAGTAAAGTGTTACAAGAGTCATAATTTGGGAGGAATTTTTGAAATTAATCTTACAAATAAATATAACAAGTACGTATCAAATCCCTTTCTTATGCGAAAGGACAAAGTTAGAGTTTTATTTTGGCAAAATATAGTTTATACTTTTCATTAGATAGACACGAATATGTGGGAATGTCATATTCACAAGTTAACTTTCGTTCTTATTGTTCAATCATTCACAAGTTAACAATTATGCTGTTAATCGTGTCGTTTCGAAAAAGTCTCGAAAAAGTATTTCCAAAAAAAAAAAAAAAAAAAAAAACTTTAGGTCGTAGATAAGATAGTAATAAGGGAAAGAAGACAAATACTCTTTTAAAATATATGAGTCGTGATTTTTATCATTTATTATTAATTAATAACTTTTTTAGTCAAATAATTATACTAACAAAAGAGTATTAATTAAGAATGAGAATAAAAATTCAGATTCATACACTCTTAAGGGTAAATTTTACAATTTTCTCGTAATTTTTACTAATATACATACTATGTGTGTGTATTGCTAAACTGAAACATATGTTATTTAAGTAAAGAAAAGGTAATTAGTTCTTCAAACACGTAAATAAGGGGTTTAATTATCCTAAAAAATAGATCCGAACATTGTTATTTTTGCTAGAAAAATAGTATCCGAACTTATAACAAATATCATATGGTTCCTGATATTTAAAATGTCCAAAAATTGATCCTAATCTATTTTGCTGTGGTAAAATTATTCTTTCCTTACGTCTGCATTAAAATGATTTAGAAAGAATATATCACCCAAAAAAAAAAAAAAAAAAACGATAGAATAGATTGCTTGTCATTTATTTACCATTTGAGTAAGGGAAAAATGATCATTTTGGTTGCTTTTAGCTCATAATCGAAGAGAGTTTTGATGTAGTGTAATATTTGTTCTTGATAGATTATCTACTATCTACTATCTAGTACAGGTGTTAGGGTTTTCCGTGTCAATGCATGTTTTAGCGTTGGATGGGGCTCCAAGGGTAATCCAGCTGCCCACTAATCAACAATAGGACTAACTTTGTTTCATAAAAATAAATCGGTCAACTTTGAAATTTTAAACGTTGGAGATCAACGTCAGATTTGCTGTAAATTTCGAGGACCATTTTTTTATTCGAACAATTGAGTTTTCACAGCAGAATGACTTTTAAACTCCCCCCTCCCCCTAAAACTTTCGACCGAGAATTCTTATTGGTGTATGCAATAATTTATGAAAAGAACAAATTACCTACTTGGAAAAATAATTATGGACGATCAAGTAATCTGTCAAAAATGAATTTACGCTTTAATGACAAGATCTTCCTTGATATGTGAATGATCCGTGCGTGTGTTGCAACTGATACAATCCATGACTACAATCTTGTTCATGCACACGCCGTATTAATCTGTCATTAAATTATGGTTACAAGGAGGAAGTCAACTTCAGCCACGAAGAGAATACATAATCTGTAACTATTGTAGCATTGCTTGTCTTAACGCCCAACTGATAAAAAAAAGCTATAAGAGTGTGATTACCATCATAGTTTTTAAAACTATGATTAGCATTATTCCTAATCACAGTTTTGCCAAGATCTCAACGTGCGGCGAGTATTATTAGTATTTGCTAGAAAATCTGCCACAAGTTCTAGTGAGTCTATTGTTGGATTGAGGAGACGGGGAAAAACGAGGAAATAGAAGAGACTGGATAGACGAAGGGTAATAAGTTAAGATACTGAATTATATTTTTACATTTGTATGTTTTCGGACCAAAAAAAAATGCTAAAGAGCATTTCCCAAGTAATACCAATTTACATGTTAATGCTAAATTAGGAAAGGAATGTTTTCCAATACAATGTTTAACTTTGTAATAATTTCCGCATATATATGCTACGCTCTAAATTGTCAAATCTTAGCATTTGGTTACTATTCAATAGCAAAATGAGCTACTTAGGAGAGAATTTCTCATGACTTTGAGCTTTATTGTCTCTCACAACAATCTTTCAGGGCCTGTACCACAATGAAACCAACTGAAAACGTTTGACAACAGCTCCCAAGTCAAATAAATGCAGCCCCTTGCCGCCACCTTCGGTTGCTAAGGGCATCAATGATGATAATTTGGATCCCATTTATGTACCGGACTCGATATTTGTTTTGACGGACTACATAAATGGTCTAGTTTTGGTGTGATTCTTGCCAACTTTGTGGTCAGAAACAGGCATGGATTGCTGGACAAGACTTCCCTAGGGAGGCTCTTGATAGGCATGCAGAATTTGAATTCATAAGGATGATGCTTCTACAAGTGCTATTATGCATTCCTTCAATTTATGTCCTGTCTATGTCATCTAAGCTAATGTTCATCTGTGTGTGTGTTTGGATCATTTTCCTTTTCTTGTTGGGTTAAGGGGGAAAAAGCATACGTATTTACAAATAAATTTCCAATAGAGGCTCATCAGAAGTACAAACTATTCGTCAATCTGCATGCTATTTCTCATATGGTACAGAGTACATATTCATTATTGTTTTGGAGTGGAAAACAACCAACAAAACAACAATCTTGAAGGGAAAAAAAAAAAAAATTATATCTCACATATACACTTTTACCTCAAATCACAGTAGATGCCCCTTTTGACCAGAATCAGGATCTTCTTCCTCTTTGGGCTACTATAAATCATCTACTTCACAGCAAATGTTCTTTACAGCTCTGAGCCTACGACAATGATCTAGCCTCTTTTCCTACACTGCTGGGGCATATCAATACAGAGTCCACACAAACACCCCCTTTGGTGTGAGTGCAATCAATCTGTGTTACTGAAAATTTGATCTTCATCAAAGAGTTTGGATCCTCAACAACAAAATTTCCCACATGGTAGTTGACCCAGTTCCCGGGATTATCCAAGCAACATTTTGACACATCATGTTGACCATCAGAAGTTGTGAGCTGAAATTTTACAGGCTTTATGCCCCAGCCATGGACGTGCTCCAAGTTGCAAACCCGACGTCCTAGTCGCTTGAAGGGTCGGCCGAGATGGAGTCGGATGAAGATGCTATAGTTTCCTGCGGGGAATTGGAACTCGATCTCTCCTTCCACTTCTAACCACCAGGTTTGTTGGAGATAAGCAACTGTCTGGAATCTGACATTGAAAAACAAAAGAGGGATTAGTACATGTTCTTTTGTTATCTTGGATGATTATGCTCCAGAAAACTGAAAAACGTTCACTCACATCTTGAACTGACTTTTACATGATGAAAAGGATCAGATAGTTTAGAAACACAATACATGTCCAAAATGAATTGTACACAGAATTGTGAGGAAAGCAAACACCTGAGCAGAAGACATACAAAAATCTCTAATTTGCATTTATGGTAAGATATTGGCTTTAAAAAAAAAAAAGGGAAAAAAATTCAATTCAAACCAGACCATGAGAAACAAAACAAGGTTTATCTTCATCGTGATAACATAAAGCAGAACACCAAAAATAGAAACCGAGAACAGCAAAAAAACCAAATTATAATCACCATATACGCTCCAAAGCGGCCAAATTCACACGAGCATAAGGAGATACAGAGATGAATCAGGACATACAACAGCTTGCAAAAGAAAATTAAAATAAAAGATACCTTTACCAAGATAAAAGATACCCACCATCCAAAAATAAGACAAAAGTTCACACAACCAAAAAGCGTAAGGATACCGTATCGTAAGAAAAAATAAAAAGATAAAAAAAAAAAGAAAGTTTGCATTGATAGTAAATAAACCTCACCTAGATTCCTCAGTGGAAATGAAATTCCAATATCTCCGATCGTCGATCCCGGTGATCCGCAACGCTCTCGAGGAAATCGACAAAAAAACGCCACCAGTACTTTTATCCAGCCAAATTTCCTTTTTTTTAAAAAAAAAAAAATCAATTTAGTTCAAATCAAACTGCAAAATGCGCATTCTCAAGAACACAGGAAAAAAAAAAAAAAGGAAAGTCACCTTAGAGCCACCATCAAAGGAATTAGGGCTGCAAAGCCTAGCGTAGATCTCCCTCTTCCCCAACTTCTCCACCATATCCGAATTCTCCAACACTTTCTCGATTATGAACCGGTAATTCGATGGCAACTTGGATTCCCAAATGAAATCCGCCGAGGAAGCCGCGCGAAACGCCCTGTTCAGTCGGGCAAATTTACAAACATCTGGTGGGTCCATGAAGGTAAGAATCAGTGCCACGCAATTCTCCGGTATATCCCCGAGTCTCGGCCTCTGCGGCCCGTCGTCGTCCGCCATTGAAGACGAAACATTAGCTCCCATTGAACCTAACTAGAATCCTCGAGAGAAAATGAAAGGAAAGGAAAAGAAAACCGAAAACCCAGATTAGGAATCGGAGAACTAGACCTTAAATTTGAACCTGAATTTGTATATTTTCTGGGAAAGATTAAGGGAGAGAAATGCGAGGTCAGCGGGATCACAACCCGGATTTGCATGAAAAGACATGGGAATTCCAAGACTCAAAAGCTGAGATTCTGAATTTTTTGTATATTTTAATAACCTTCGACTTCTCCCAGCTTATAAAGATTAGAGACCAGTTGGAGAAAGAGAGAGAGAGGCAAAGACTGAAAGGAGAAAAAATCAAACTTCGGAGACGAGCTTTTGAGCTTTAAGCTTTAATGGCGGACAGAGGAAGGAGACACGTGCGGACTTCGGACACGTGTCGGACGCGGTTTTCCCAAGAGACACAAGAAAGAAAATAAGAGGAAAAGGGAGACGGTAGGAAGGGGGACTCTCTTATCCAGTACAGGCTTTTATACGAGAATTTTGGGGAATGTCTTTGTCGGATTTTAATGCGCGTGGCTGCACGTGCCAATATAGATGAGTAAGGATTGGGAGGTGTGAGTAACGCGCGCTTTGAAAAGCGCGTTTAGGGGCTGCCTGCGGAGATCAGTCTTCGTTGCCACTTGCGACTTCGGATTTGGAAGTTCCATGTTGAAGTGGTTTTTTTTTTTAAAGAAACAAAAATTTATGAAAGGATTGGATTTTGAACGTTGCGGATAAGAATGGAACTATGGAAGTACCAGATAAATTGAATCAAAACAAATTATAAAAAAAAAAAAAATTGAATCAAAACAAAAATTAGAGAAATTTATATGAATTCTTTTAAAAGAAATTAATTGTGAAGAAAAATAAAAAACCGGATAATCAAGTATATAACGATTTAACATAGTAGCTTTAAACATAGTCTAGAGTAATGACGCAAGTGTACATCCATAAAAAGAAAAATGATGCAAGTGTAATAAAAGTCTCTAAGCTCCATCCAAAAAATAAATAAAAGTCTCTAAACTTCGGCCTTATTTGATTTGACGATTTTAATTGGAATTGCAATGATTTAAATTGTAGTGATATTAATTGTGATTAGAATTAGTGTTTAAATACTCAAATAAACTGTAATTTTAAGTTAGAAATAAAATTCGAACTATGTTTGACTGATAAAGTGTTGAAAACTGTCATTATAAATTTGAAAAAATCTTATAAAATCTCATGGTAAATTTCATTGAAAAATATGTAATATAGATGGGGATTTATTCATCTCTTCATTATGAACACATTAAAGGAAAAAAAATCATCTCTTGAAATGAAGAAGTTATGACACTTTTAAATTTGAAGTTGATGAGAGAGAAAAAGTAAGATTTTAATTATTTTCATGGTAGAAAACAATTCTTGTTAGAATTTAAGGGGAGATAAATTCTGAAATAAATGATTTTAACCATAGTTAATAGTTTGAACTGTCTTTATTTAGTTCTATACTAAACATTAATTTAGACGTTGAACAATAATCTAAATTGAAATGTTGGGTTAGGATTGCTAAACAAACAATGCCTTATTTTTTTTTTTTTTTTAAGTTTCTAAACTTCTTCTGTACTAGAAAAAAAAAAGTTTCAAAACGTTAATCCTAAATTTTATTAATAACATATCAAATTAAAATAAAGAATATACTAAACTCACATAATCTAGTACAAATATGATGGTTCAAACCCTACCCATATATTTATTTTCATAAATGTCTCGTACTTCAAACTTTTTGTTCGTTCTCGTGTGTAAATTTCTTTACACCAATTATGCATCTAACAATGTGTACTTTAATTAATAGATAGATTTGTTGAGCCCATGAAAATTTGAGAAAAAAATTGGCAACGAGAAAATCACATGAATCTTTTTTATTTATATTGGGAATGTGACTGAGTCTTGTTGAGATAGTCAATTTATTAAATAAAATAAAGTGCTTTTCTTGGGGCATACTTTATGCAGTAATTGTTTTTTTTTTTTTTTAAAGAAAGAAAATTGTATATTCTCTTAGGGGGCGTTTGGTAGAGGGATTCGTTTCCTGATTCGAATCATGATTCGTGGTTCGCTACCGTATTTTCTCTCATAAAAAATACACATAAATCAAAAATTATTCGAATCAAATGGTTTGAATCCTCCAACCAAACGAACTCTTAATTCAATTTCATTCATATCCAGTAGATGGGCCTTGTACTTTGATTATGAACAATGCTGGCGACCGTTACAATGCTGGCGACCGTTATATAGAGTTGTGTGCTGTGTTGTTTAGTTTAATCATCTTGCAAGAGGAATAATTCAAAAAAAAAACACTAAAAAATGCTGATTTATCATTGCGGGTCAAAAGAAGTAAGTTTCTACATTATTGGATTCAAATCTAATACGTTTCTCGTTTCAATTGCCAAATTGGATAATACTTCGGTTCACATTATTGCACTTCGAAACAATGATATAGAACAGCATAAATTTTTTTTTTTTTGGTTAATGAACAGCAGAATTTGTTTATGCTGCTTTCATTCTTTTTTCTTTTATGAAAAAGGCCAGCAGAAATTTAAGATCCAACTTTCCATATATCCTCTAATTTTTTTTTCTAGTTATACTTTTTTTTTCTCCTTATTATATTTGGACATAGAATAAATAAATAAATCTCGTATCCAAATCAAATTGGCTTCGAACAAGCTTCCTCGTATATATGATATACGAGCCACAGAATCAAATGCTTCACCTGCTTATTTCCATAATATTCCAACAAAACTTTGTCTCCATTTATAGCATACGAAGAAAGCCGATTAATTAATTGTGTATTAACCAAACACAGATAGGCCCATTTAAAGTACCATAGCTCAATCATTTCCGTTGAAAATTATTAGTTTATTCATGGCCTTATCCAAACCCAAGTGGTTGCTCTTTTTTTTTTTCCCTGTAAAACCAAGAGGTTGCTTATGACCACTTCGTTAATTTGAGTTTAGAATTTAAGTTGAGATGTGATTTTATGTGAGAATTTTTTACTGTAGTAAAAAAGTTAGTGCTCATTTTTAATTCCCACAAAAATCCAAATCAACAAAGTTTCTACTTTTCACCTATTCTTCCTTCGAGCTACCACGTTTAGAAATTAAAAAAGAGAAAAATGACGGATGCGTTTAAATTTATTTTTATTTTTAATTCCCACAAAAATCCAAATCAACATGTTTCTACTTTTCACCTATTCTTCCTTTGAGCTACTACTTTTAGAAATTAAAAAAGAGAATAATGACGGGTGCATTTAAAATGTTTTTTAAAAACATTTTTACACATTTTTTATACACAAAAATGAAAATGGTATACAAATTACGTTTATTTAATAAAAGTCTTAAAAATGAAAAATAATGAGAATAATTTTTATAAAAAAAAATTATTAAAAATTATTTTCTCTTTTTTATTTTCATTTTTGAGTACTTATAAACAAAGTTATACTAAATAATTAATTATCCGAAACCAAGTGGTTGCTCTTTTTTTTTTTTCCTGTAAAACCAAGAGGTTGCTTATGACCAGCTCAGGTTTCCCTTTCATGCTAACCAAGGGGTCCAACCTTTACCTCCATAGAGAGAGAGAGAGAGACTTTAGAAAAAGTGTTCTTTTTTAATTCCCACAAAAATCCAAATCAACGAGTTTCTACTTTTCTCTCGGCAATCTCTCTTTCCTACTGAGATAATTTCTCATTGAGAATGTTATTTTCAGTTGTAGTTGTATTACATCATTCCTTAGTTATTTGATTATTTGTTTTCCAATGTGATCTAAGCTAGACAAGTCTTTGATATCAATTGGATCAGTATCCACCCAAACATCTCTGTGATATATTGAGAAAAATGACGTGTGCGTTTAAAATTATTTTTAAAAATATTTTTACACGTTTTTTGAGACGTGAAAATAAAAGCGGTATACAAATTACATTTATTTAATAAAAATTGTAAAAATAGAAACGAAAATAAAAAATAATGAGAATAATTTTTATAAAGAAAGTAAAAAAATGATTAAAAGTTATTTTCTCTTTTTTGTTTTCATTTTCGAGTACTTATCAACAAAGTTATACTAAATAATTAATTATTAATTACTAATTATATTATATATTAATTAATAATTAATAAATAGATGTACTTAAAAAATAATAAATAGATAGTAACTTATATTATGTTAATTATAATCTATTAATTAGCAAATAGTTGGTAAATAAAAAATAAATAGTAATTACTCAATTAATAATTAATATTAAATTATAATTATCAATATGTAATATACTAATCAATAATAATTAATAATTGATAATTAGTAATTAATCATTATAAAAAAAATAATTACCAAAAATTAATCTGTGATATATTAAATAATAGATTATTAAATAAACAGTAGTAATTAATTAACTAATTATTTAATTATGTAACTAAAAGTTAATAATTTAAGTAGTAAACGGAATATTAATAAACTATGTATATACTGATTATTTTTCTTAAGACACTAATTAATTACTTATAATCTAATAAATATGAGTACATTACTAACATAATAATTAATTATAATTAATTACTAATTACTATTTTTTAATTATTTAACGTATTAATTTATTATATATACAGTTTAATTACTAATGAACTCATTAATGATAATTTATCTATTATTATATTATTAATATATTAATTTTTATTTGCTAAATAATTATCAATTATTAATTACTTAATATTATTAATTTAAGATTATTTATTACATGTACACAAAATAAACATAAATGTAACTAAACACGATTTCATTTTTTTATCAAACTCAAACTAATATCTTGAAAGACCACTAAACGTAATTTTAAAAAGGATTTCTTTCGAATTAACTCGATAAAGACCGTTTTAGGCAAAAGAATGATGAGCATTCCCTCATCACTACTGGGGGAATATATATATTATTAAGGCATTTTGAACGGTTAATTAAACATGAGACTTTTAATTTTGATATAATTTTAACCAAACTTAACATCAAAAAACATGTATTAACAAATAAAATAAGTAAATAACCCTGTCATAAAAAACTTCAACAAATAAATTAATAAACAAATTAATGAGAGAGATTAATGTCCCGTTTATTTTATTAATTTAAGTTTAAAATTTAAATTTTATTATAGTAAAAAATTTTCAAAAATAGTCACATTTAATTTTTTTATTACAATAAAAAAACTCTCACATAAAATTATATCTCAACTCAAATTAAAAATTCAAATCATACCGTCAATTCTTTTGCATAATATAAGGGATACTTGCCTTGATGCCAATGAAGTGGGTTCTTCTTTGACAAGTGGTTAATGACGATAATTAGCGTAAGCTAAGCGTTGCCTTAGTGGCGCTGACTCAGCAGATTGGAGGACCAACACGTGGCACAAATTCATCACTAAAACATCCCTATTG